TGTCTCTCGACACTTCAAGATGCTTTCTTTGTCTCTGACTTTTGACACTTTGACGATAATGTGACTTGGAGTATTCTTCTCTGAATTGACTTTGCTTGGGAACTTTAGAATGTGGATGTAAATATTCCTCCCAAGACTTGAGAAGTTTTCTTTAAATAAGCTTTCTTTCCCTTTCTGTTCTCCTTCTTGGCTTCCCATAATTCATATATGTTCATATTCTTGACTGTATTCTCTAGGTTCCTTATGCTTTCTTTACTCTTTTTTCTTTGTATTCCTTTCATTGGTTTATCTTAAATTACTTTTTTATTTTTATTTTATTTTGCCTTACTGGGGATTGAACTCAGGAGTGATTTACCACTAAGCTACATCCCCAGCATTTTTTTTTTTTGAGAGAGAGAGAGAATTTTTAAATATTTATTTTTCAGTTTTTGGTGGACACAACATCTTTATCATCTTTATTTTTATGTGGTGCTGAGGATTAAACCCAGCGCCCCGCGCATGCCAGGCGAGCCCGCTACCGCTTGAGCCACATCCCCAGCCCTTTTTAGGTCTTGCTAAATTGTTTCAGTTGTTCTCAAGCTTGTGATTCTCCTTACTTGACCTCCTGAATAGCTGGGATTACAGGTGTGCATCACCACACTTTGCTTGAATGACTTGTCTTTGAATTTGCTAATTTTGTCTTCTGCTTGATTGAGTTGGCTATCAAAACTCTCTACTGAATTTTCAGATATCTAATTATATTATTTAACTCTAGAATTTGTGTTTGGTTCTTTTTAAATGAATTCTATTTTAGGGGGCATTTGGGGTTGAAACCATTTAACTATATATGTCTCAGCCCTTTTATTTTTTAAATTTAATTAAAATTTTTTTTTAGTTGTAAATGGACAAAATACCTTTATTTGTTTTTATGTGGTGCTGAGGATTAAACTCAATGCCTCATGTGTGCTAGGCAAGCACTCTAACACCGAGTCACACCCTCAGACCCCTTTTGTTTTATTCTTTGAGATAGGGTCTTGTTAAGTTGCTGAGGCTGGCCTCAAACTTGTGATTCTCCTGCCTCAGCCTCCAGAATCATTAGGAGTATGGGTGTGTGCCATTGTGTCTGGCAGATTCTATTTTATTACCTTTTTATTTTGTTTGTGCATTTTCCCCTAATTTCACTTGATTATCTATACATTTTCTTTCATCTCACTGAGTTCTCTGATCTGACTGTTCTTAATTCTCTTTTAGGCAATTCATAGCTCTCCATTTCTTTGGGTTCAGTTTCTGGAGCTTAATTACTATTCTTCATTGTCTGTGTAGGCCATGTTGGCACTTGTGAAGGAGGAAGAGCCAATTCCAGTCTTTACAGATTGCTTTTAGGAGATTAAAGATTTCCTCTGTTAGGTTTCAGGATTGAAGGACTGCTTCTGGTACCACAACTGAATGGGGTTGGAGTTGGAGCTGGGTTACATAGTCTCTGCTGCATCTGTAGTGGGGTCTGTAGTTGGCAGCCCTGTTACCACGGGTTCTAATGAGAATGAATCCTGTATGGTCCATGAGTAGACTATGCTATCTCCAGGACTTTAGGGCTGGTGCTGGGACACAGGCCAGTATTAGGATCTTCAGACAGTGAGCCTTTTATTAGATGTACATCCAGGTGTGGCTTCCTCTGGAAAATCTCCTGTGAGGTCACTGGGTAGGTTCCTAGACAAACAGTATTGCCCTGGGTCAATGGCTCAGAGGGGATGGACCCAAGTCAGTCACAGGCCTGTTTCAGGGACCACAGTTAGAACTGAGGCCAGTAAGCCTGCTACAAGGACTCAGGCAGGTGTGTCTCCCTCTGGGTCCCTGAGCTGGTAGTGGAACTAATTTCTGACTACTGCTGAGGGGGGCTGGAACCAAGTCTCAGAGGCTTTTCAGTGTTTGCTATGAAATTAAGGTCATAAAGCCTTCCCTGGTGATTCAAGTGGGCATCTCTTTCTTTGAGATCCTATGACACTGATTGAACTGTGCTCTGACTGCTGCTGAGTAGGGCTAGAGTCAAGTTTCAGAAGTTTCAGAGTCATCTGTAAGTACACTGCCAGGATAAACATTAGCAGGTTGTCATCTTAAGGTGCCGCAGTCTGGCTGGGCACAAATCACCGAGCCGCCACAAAGCACTTGTATGTTCAAACAGGAAACTTTATTGCCTGAACTCCAACAGTACTCCACGCACACTCCCCAGGAACTCTCCCAAACGCCACTCACGTGGCTCCTCCCCGGCACACCACACCAACCAGAACTTCCTCCACAGGAACTTCCCCAACTAACGGGAACTCCCCAGGAATCCTGGGAGAACTCCAAAGTAGCGGGCGCCTGAGGCGGACAGAAGGGGTCTATATACCATTGAATCAATCCAGCATCATCTTAATGGCTCGCCTCTCAACCATTACTTCTGGCAAAATGCCAGGGGCCATTCCGACTGGGCTGTGGCTCTCAGCATTAAGGCATAAGTGGGTGTGACTTCTTCCAGGTCTCTGAGTAAATGGTTCTAGAATAGGACCAAAGCCAAAAGGGCTATATTTCCAGATTTGGTGTCAGGTCCATGATTGGCAAGTCTGCCACCTGGTTGCAGTACTGCCCTCCTTGGTCTTGGGCTGTGCCAGGTTGTCACAACCTCCTACCTGAATCCCACTGAGTAATTTTTATCCAGGTAGGATTGAAAATTTATTGTAGCCAGCGTGGGGTAGGGTTGGGGGAGGTGGGGGGATATGACAGAGAGATCTCCTCTTCTGCTGTCTTGCGGATATCATTCTGCTATTGTTTATTTGGAAGTTTTAAATATGGCTAAAATATAAATGAATACCCAATTGATGACAGGTGGAATGTGGTAGTTTGTACTGTGTCAACTTGGTTAAACTAGACTCATGTTTCCCATAATCATTTTCCCCACATGGTCCAAAGAGAACTTTGTACAATATCTATAAGCATAATTTAAGGAGAAGTCATTGCTTTGTGAGTGCTGTCATGCTGAGATATTGTAAGGGACTGTATAGAGTTCTGTGGGTTCCAACTTTTCCTCACTCCTCTTTCCTGTGGCAAGTTCTTCTTCCCATTTGCTGACCCTGTTGGCAAACAAAGGCCTGGGGCCCATCACCAGATGCTTGCTGTTCACTTTCAAAGGCAGTTGCTTCCCATAGACATTCCTAGAGGCTCAGTTTCCGTAGACATTCCTACTATCCTTTTCTTCTCCATTTTGTTGTGGCAATGGACAAAGTGGCTTCTCAGATTAACTGATCAGAGACTCTTTCTCTGATTCTCCAGTTTCTCTCCTTAACTTTCATTCTGGCTCCTTCTACATCTATGCAAGATATATTAATTCCTATAATGAACCCTGTACTGATAGTAGTTCTTCTTTCATGGAACCTTGACTAATTCAAATATGGAAAGTTCTTGCACCTTTTTCAGTATTTTTTTTTTTTTACTTACTTATAGTACTTGGGATTGAATCCAGGGATGCTTTATTACTGAGCTACATCCCAAGTTCTTTTTATTTTTTTTAGACACGGTCTTGCTAAGTTGCTGAAGGTGACCTTGCATTTGTGATCCTCTTGCCTCAGTCTACCAAGTTGCTGAGATTAACGACCATGCCCAGCTCAACCTTGTGCTTCCTACATTGAGTTGTTCAACCATTATTTGAATTCTGTTTATGAAACAAAATACTCTCCCCCCCCCACCAAACTAATCTGTTTAGGGTTTCAGGTGTTGTTGTTGTTATTATTATTATTATTATATATTTTTTGGTACTGGGGATTGAACTCCGGGATGCTTAACCACTGAGCCACATCTCTAACTCTTTTTTATGTTCCATTTAGAGACAGGGTCTTGCTGAGTTGCTGAGGCTGGCTTTGAACTCATGATCCTCCTGGCTCATCCTCCCAAACTTCTGGAATTACAGACATGAGCCATCAAGCCCAGCTATCAGATATGATTTGTAATCAAAAGAATTGTAATGCCCTATTGCAATGTTAATTATAAGTTTGCTTCTTTCATTCTGTGTGTCTGTAAGCAGAAACAGACTCTCTATGTTCCAAAGTATTCGTTTGAAGATGTTTACATGGCAAATAACCTGGGAAGACAATGATTGTGGCTCCTGATGATGCAAAAAGGAACGTACAACTTTACTGTCCATTTATAAAACATTCGGTTCCCTGAATTTTTTCCTATAATAATGCCACCCACTGTGTAGGCATTATCTGTTCCTCTTCACCTTATCTTATAGGAACCGAGGCTCGGGAAACAATGTCAAAATGATGATATGCTGGCTACTTCTATTGTTATGAATAATAATCTGTCCTTTGTGGGTTTGATCCAAGAGATATGAAACTGTTGCAGGCTAACTTGTCAGATTGTATTGAAGGTGAAATCTCAGATCCTTCACAGTTCTTAAAAATAAGATCATTTTTGACTGGTATAATTTATACTGGTACAAGTATTGTTCTGTGGGCTTTTCAAAGAGAAAAATGTATATGGCTCTGATATGGATTACTTTTTTTTTTTTTAATTGTAGATGGACACAAAATCTTTATTTATTTTTATCTGGTATTGAGAATTTAACCCAGTGCCTCACACTTGTGAGGCAAGCACTCTACCACTGAGCTATAGCCCCATCCCATGGGTGACTTTTTTTGCAAACAAATAAATATGTTAGGTTTTAAGAAATTACTGGGGCTGGGGTGGTGGCTCAGTGGTAGAGTGCTCGCCTAGCATGCATGAGGCACTGGGTTAGATCCTTGGCATCACATAAAAACAAACTAATGTATCCACCTAAAATTAAAGATACATAAATAAATATTAAAAAAGAAATTACTATATCACTATAGTATAACAATTACTTTTATGTGTGTGTGTGTGTGTCTGTGTTTCCCATTTGTAATATAGACAAGAATTTGGATAGGATGCTTTGGTTGTATTAATAGAGACAAACCTCTTTTTAGTTTATGTGAAAAGGAGAATTTATTACAAAATTACAAGGGTACCTTAACAAAGCCAAAAACAATAGTTAATTCTAGGCCTCAGGGATAATGGCCAGTAATAGAAACCAAATCTTGCTGGCAAAGAGGAGTTTACAATTAGAACATAAAGATACTTTACCAAGCCAAGGGCAAAGATTACAACCATGCTTCATGAAGGGTTAGGACAAGGGAATGGAACACTGTTAGAAAGGCAGGAATCATACTCTTTTGATCTCTCATCTCTGCTTTTCAATTTGCAAATGCTTTTTTGTTCTCTCACTACAGATCTGTTACTTTCCCTGCCTAAGCTACATGGTAGGATATGGCAACCCACATCTCCCAATTTATATTTCCTCTATTCCAGAGACTAGTCAGACTAAGGCTAGAATCTCTTATCTCAACCCTGAATTCCTGGGGAAGTTGTAGGACCTTGCCAAATTTAAAGATAACATCCTTTTCAGGGATCGGCAGTAAGTCAGAAATTTCAGGAAAACAGGAATAGAAGCCAACTGAATTTTTAATTTTTGTTGCTCCTTAAAGACCTGGAACTGAAATAGTTTAATTTTACATTTAGGGGTGGATAGGAGATAGATGCTCAGAAATCACAGCATATTATGTGGAAATGACCAGATACTTCAAAAGATAAGTGTATTCTAACTCTTTAATATTTCCTGGGTCAGAGATGACAGACTTGGATAATGATATCTTATTTGAGACAAGTTTCTTTGCATTTGTCTGGATAGGTAGGGTTTATTTCTGGGAAAATTATGAACTGTTCTTGATATAAGTTATTTAAACACAAATGGTAATATTATTCTTTGTTAATCAGATTTTCCAAGAGAAATTTTAAAAGGTGGTTAATTATATGGTGAGTATTTAGGAAAAATGGAAAAAGAAAAGAATACATTGGCAGATGTCAGAAATCCCTCAGAACCATAAATAAAAATTTGATCAAAGGTATCTCAAACTAGAGAGGAACTCTTACTCATGTAGTTTGAGTCAGTTGCTTATGAACTATTTCTATCATAGTAGGGTGAGGGCTGAGGGGATATTCAAGAAATATAGGAGATGGGAAAGAAAACTATTTTCTTGATTCTATGCAGTGTTTCAGACCTCCCTGTAAAAGCAAATTTATAATGCTTACTGCTGTGGTTTGGATAGTGGTGTCTCCCAAAAGCTCATATGTGAGACAATTCAATAAAATTTAGAGGTAAAATGATTGGGTTATGAGAAGCTTAACCCAATCAGTGTATTAATCTGCTGATGGGGATTAACTAAGTGGTAACTATAGGCAGGTAGAATGTGGCTGGAGGAGGTGGGTCATTGGGGGCATGCTTTTGGAGGTTTATATTTTGTCCTTATTTTTGTAGAGTGCTCTCTCTGCTTCCTGATTATCATGTCCCAAGCTGCTTTCCTCTGCCACACCCTTCCACCAGGGTGTTCTGCCTCACCTTGGGCATAGAGCAATGGAGTCAGCTATCTAAGGACTGAAACCTCTGAAACTGTGAACCCCACATAAAATTTTCTTTAAAATTGTTCTTGTCAGATCTTTTGGTTGCAGCCATGAAAAAGCTGGCTAAAACACTTACCAAAAGCATGTCGTGATACTATTTGAAATACAGGTGATTTTTATATTTTAAAATCAGAGAAGCTGATAGAGGTATTCCACCCAGCCCTAGTCACACTGAAATAAACCTGAAAATGTCCAAATTATAAAGAAATGTTGTGGGTGTTTATTAAAAATGTATTCATGCTGAAGATTTCTTAAAGTATTTCTCTTGTGTGTTGAAAACACATTCCTATATTTGTGGTATCTTTTGATGAGATACAGGGAGTTAAACTTAATGTTCATGATACTACTGTACTTCTTCCCACAATTTTCTTTCTAGAAATAAGAATCAGCAGGAGAAGTAGGACCACTCTATGATAACTAAGAAGAAAAGCAATATTAATGTGAACATGTTAAGAGACTCAAAAGCTGGAAATTCAGTTTTGATTTTACCTGATTTCAGTATATACAAGGTTTCAAAAGAAAAAAGTCATTCAGCATTATGTTGAAGGTTTTGTATTTCGACCTCTGTGTTTCTTCGTGAAAACATTTCCTTACTGTTGTCATCATTTTCATCATCATAGAGTGCCATATTCATTACATTTTCAGTACATTCTTCTAATGAAATTGTTGACAGGTATGAAAATACTTTTTCCATTAGAGGTTCCCTGAGAAGAGGCTTTGAAGAATTCTTTTCTGCTAGAGAATCATCAGAATACCAGTCTTCGGCTGCTTCAATACTTTGGCTGTAATAAGCTTCAGATGGTAATGTTGATAAGCTTAATGGAATGCTGCTGCCATTTGTTGCTGAGCTAGTCTCTGGGGGATCACTGATGATTTTCTTTGTTGCAAAGCGGAATTCATTTTTAGAGTGATCTTTAATTGCTGCAAAAAATATATTTATTATAAATATTACATATTCATGAGCCAAATCTTAATTTATAAGGGCATTTTTTAAAAATTCAGACTATTTTTAGGGCTATAATGGACAAGATAATTCTCTTCAAGAACATTCTGAGTTACTATCATCATCTGTACAATGTTTAATATGTAATTGGGAATTAGCAATATTTTCATGAAAATTAAGAGTAGAAAAGACTATACTAAATAAAACCAACCAGTTTTTACAGAAAAGATTCTAAGTGGGACAGAAACCTCAGTTTTGGAAAGTTCCTTAAAGAGGACAGATTCTTAAAGACTTATAACTATTTATGCCTTATTTTAAAAATATAAGCTTCCTGAGCAAGCAGATTACAAAATGGAAAGGGCCTATGGGCTGGCCCTATATCAATAACAGTAATAATATTACTACAGAGCTTTACAATTTGCAAAGTGTTTTGATATAATTATTTTCTCAATAATTCTTCAAGGCAGTTATTAGCACCACTTCACCAAAGAAAAAGAGATTTAGAAGATGATCCATCACAAATCAGATATAAAATGGATTTCAATCTACATACTTCTTACTTTAATTCTTTTGCCATTGAATTATTTAGGTTGCACATTGGCTATTTCAAAGTGTTAGGTTTTAGAAAATATCATATACTATCTTTTTTTTAAATATTTTTTTAGTTGTTGATGGACCTTTATTTTATTCATTTACTCATATGTGGTGCTGAGAATCGAACCCAGTGCCTCACACATGCTAGGCAAGCGCTCTACCACTGAGTCACAACCCCAGCCCTCATATACTATCTTAAATGATTTTTATATGTTTTATATTTTTATGTTAACTTTTGATACTTTACATATTAATTTTTAAAGTTGTTTTAAGTACGTTACCTTATATTAACATTTCTAAAATTATGTAGGAGACAATGGTTTGAAGTTCTAAGACATAACCTGCAAAATCTAGAGCTGTAAAAACTTGTGGGTTTTTTTTTTTTAATATATATTTTTAGTTGTAGTTGGACACAATACCTTTATTCCATTCATTTATTTTTATGTGGTGCTGAGGATCAAACCCAAAGCCCCGTGTGTGCTAGGTGAGCGTTCTACCGCTGAGCCACAATCCCAGCCCAAAACTTGTGTTTTGAGTTTTTTTTTTCTCCTCTGTTTCTCTCCCTCTCTGATTTATTTTTATCCTCAAGCATGAGTACATGGCATTGACTATGATATCTTTGGGTTCCAGTAGTAGACCACAACTTAAAATTTCATAGTTTAAGATCATTGCAATTCTTGTTTTTCTAAAATTTATGTGCCCATTCACATACTAATAAATTAGCATTTCTCTTCAATTTTCATGGTATTTAAAATACTTAACATTAAGCATAGCCTCTTGATTCTTAAAGTTGTAAATTGTTATACGTTAGGATTGTTTCTAAGAAACAGTTGGGGAAAACATACCTTTTATACGTGCTGCTTCTTTTTTTCTTTGCTCCTCCTACATAAAAATTTATTTGTATTTTTAAAATGAAATCATTTTTATATAATTTCTATATTATATTGATCTATACACTTATATAATAGTAATACATTTTGCACCTATGATTATAGGTTTATTACAAAGAATGCAAATCAGGAAGAGTAATAAATTTTAACATTTATTTGCATTTCTAACAAGCTCCCCAGAATAATGCTGATATTGCTGGTCTGGGAACAAGAGTATGGCCCTGGACTGATTGAAATTCTACCCAATTAAATGAATGAAAAAGCGGGCATTCTTATATACTGTAAATCAGTACAAATATTTTGGAGAGAAATTTAACAAATCTACTTGGAATATATTATGGCAAGTATATAATTTTGTTTTTGTGTCAATGTTCAGTTACCCGAATGTTCATTCAATATGGGTAGCATTTTAAAAAACTTAAAATTAAAAAATCCAAGATTAAGGAAATAGTTAAATGCATTATTATACCTAGATATAAAGGATGCTATTTCTTTCTCTCTGTTTTTTTTTAATACTTGTGGGTTGAACCCAGAGGTACATTACCACTGATCTACATCCCAGTTCTTTTTTTTTTTTAAATATGTTTTTAGTTGTAGATGGACACAATATATTTAATTAATTTTTTTTATGTGGTGCCAAGGATTGAACCCAGTGTCTCACGCATGCTAGGCAAGTGCTTTACCACTGAGCCACAACCCTGGCCTCATCCCAGTTCTTTTTATTTTTTATTTTGAGACAGGATCTTGCTAAGACACTGACAATCTTGCAAAGTTCCTGGTGCTGGTCTCAAATTTGGGATCCTCCTGCCTCAGCCTCCTGAGTCACTGGGATTACAGGCATGTGCCATGGCACCCAGCTGGATATTCTTTCAACTATTAAAAACGAAGCTATTTATCAGTAAGTAAGTAAGGACTAAAAGTAAAAAATCAATATGGAAACATATCATAAAGACAGAGGAATAACTTTGATTAGAATTGGGCATTAAAATACTGAGCAATGGATTATAATATGCTGAGTACAATAGAAATTCATGAATTCATACTTAAATGGGAAAGACATAGCAAGGCATTATCTTATGTATTCAAATTAAAATCATTAATTAGTGTCAAACATTGTAATTAAGGAAAAATATTGCATGTCTCTTGATATGATAAACTGAATCTGATCAGAAGAAAAACCAAACTGAAGAATAGTTTATTATGCATACATTAACTGCCTTATATTCTCAAAAATGGCTATATCATTTTTAGACTTTTATTAAAATTTAGTATTTCTATTCTTGAAAGAGGTGATTAAAAGACAAACCACAGAGCAGTACAAAATATTTTCTTTCATATATCTTATAAAAAGACTTATGGCCAGAGTATGTAAAGAATTTTCAAAACTCAGTAAGAAATAATTCAATAAAAATGGGGAAAATTGTTGGGGTTGTACCTCAGTGGTTGAGCGCTTACCTCGCATATGTGAGGCACTGGGTTTGATCTTCAGCACCAAGTAAAAATAAATAAATAAAGATATTTTGTTTTTTACAACTAAAAAATATATTTTTTTAAAATGGGGAAAATTTTTGAACGAATATGACATATAGATGGCAAATATGTACATCAAAAGATGTTCAACGTCAATATTTTTAGGAAAATACAATTAAAATCATAATGGATTACTACTACATAACTTAGAAAACAAAAACAAAAAACCCTGGCAATTTCAAGTTTCTAGAAATTTCAGTTTCTAGAAATTGTATAATGGAACAATCAATTTGGAATCAGTTTGGCAGTTTCTTATAAAAGTTAGAAAACACATATAATCCAGTAATCCCAGCAGTGAGTATGCTGACTGCCAGTGGACATGGGGTGGGAGAGCCCTGGGGCTCAGTGGGGTGACTCCTGGCTGAGAGAGCCATAGTGCTGCTGCCAGGAGGATGACAAGCAGGGACCCGTGATTGACAACACCCCTTCTTGTGGCAGAGGGACTTTGAGAAGGGTTTGCATGGCAGCCCAAGGATTAGGAAATTCTGATGCAAGTGTGTGGGCCATGTCATGCTTTTGCATATACTGATAGCACAGTCCTCACCTCCCTATCTGAATCCTGGTTCCTGGCACCTCTAGACCCCATGACATGGATGACTTAGCCCTATAGCCTGGGACCCTTCTGGCTTGTGCTTTCCCACCAGAGAGTGGAGGAGGCCCAAGCCAGAAGCTTAGCACCCAGCATCATGACAGTTTGGCAGTTTCCTGGCAGAGCCTGCAAGATCATCCTGGTCTTCTTCTTCTTTTTTGTTTTGCTCTAATTAGTTATACATGACATCAGAATGAAATGCCAATATCTTGAAATATGAAAGGCTGAGGATTTAAAGAGACTGAAGAGGAGGGACAGATTAAATCAAATATAATTTGGACAGGATTCTTAACTAGAGGGAAACAATTCTATAAAGGACATTATGGAGATAATTGATAAAATGGAATATAGAGTATAGATTATAAGAATATACTGAATCAATAAAAATTTTTTAAATTAGAAAACTATAGTAACAGAAGTGAATAACTCATAGATTATGCACTGAATTATTAAAGGCCAAAAGAGAATAATATGCAACTAATGTCAATTCTTTTCAAACTATTACAAAGTATCAAAAGGGAAGGAATACTTTTGTTCTGAGTCCATCACTAACCAGATAACAAAGCTAGACAAGAACAAAACAAAAATTAAACCCAGAGACCAATATTCCTGACGAACATATATGCACAAATTCTCAACAAGCAGGGCACAGTGACACATGTGTCCCAGCAACTTGCAAGATTGAGGCAGGAGGATCATGAGTTCAAAGCCAGCCTCAGCAACTTAGCAAGACCCTGTCTCAAAAATAAATAAATATTAAAAAAAGGGATGAGGATGTTGCTCAGTGGTTAAGTCCCCTTGAGGTCAATCTCTGGTACCAAAAAAATTCTCAACAAAATACTAGCAAACTGAATCCAATGGTACATCAAAAAGATTGTACACAGGATTGATCTCAGGGGTACAAGAACAGTTCAACATATGTAAACTAATAAATATATCGCATCAATAGAATGAAGGATAAAAACCACATAGTCAACTAAATAGATGCAGAAAAGATATTAGATAAAATTCAGTATACCTTCATGGTAAAAAAAAATTAGGTATAGGAGGAAGATACCTCAACACAATAAGGACTACATATGACAAACCCCATAGCTTACATTATACTGAATGGATGAAATTGTTTCTTTTAATATCATGAAAAAGACAAAATTGTCCACTTCCGGTATTCTTATTCAATTAGTATTGTTTCTTTTAATATCATGAAAAAAAAGACAAAATTGTCCACTTCCAGTATTCTTATTCAATTATTATTGTAAGTTTTAGCCAGAGAAGTAAGATAAGAGAAAGAAATAAAGGGTATTCCAATAGGAAAGAAGGTCAAATTATTCCATCTGTTTACAAACAAAATTATTTTATTTTTTGTTTTGTTTTTCATTTTATTTATTTATTTTTATATGGTTCTGAGGATCAAACCCAGTGCTTCACACATGCTATGCAAACACTCTACCACTGAGCTCCAACCCCAGCCCCCCAAAATGATTTTATGTATAGAAAAACCTAAAGATTTAAAAGAGCTTATAAATGTAAAGATGTAAAGTCAGTATATGAAAATCAGCTTTTATATACATCAATAAAGAAATTTCTGAGAAAGAAATAAGCAATCCCATTCAAAATAGCTACCTAAATATTTTAAAATATTTCTAATATTAAAAATATAAATTTTCCAAGGAAATATAAGATCTTTACAATGAAAACTACAAAACAATGAAGAAAGAAATGGAAGAGAACACACACATACAAATGGAAAGACATCCCATTATAAGACATTCCAATATTAATTGGAAGAATTAATATTGTTAAAGTTTCCATACTATACAAAGTGAACTACAGAGTCAATGCAGTTCTTATCAAAATACCAATGACATTTTTCACAGAAATAGGAAAAACGCTCCTAAAATTTTTATGGAACCACAAAGACACTGAATTGCTGAAGTAATCCTGAGCAAAAATAATAAAGCTGGAGGCATTACAACAGCTGACCTAAAACATAGTACAAAATGATAGTAAATAAGACAGATGTCACTGGTGTAAAAGTAGACATGTAGACCAATGAATCAGAATGAAGACATGTGAGATCAATCCACATACTTCTGGCAATTGATTTTTTTTTATACTGAAGATTGAACCAAAGGGTACTCTACCACTGATCTGCATTCTTCCACCTTTTTTTTCCAGTTTTTTAAAAATTTATGGGTTCTTTTTAGTTGTACATTACAGCAGAATCCATTCTGATATAATTACACAAGCACAGAATATATCTTATTCTAGGTAGAATCCCATGTATATGATAGTGGGATTCACTGTATTTCATATGTATACTTGGGAAAGTTATGTCAGATTCATTCTATTGTCTTTACTCCCCTTATCCTCCCCTCCCCTTCCCTCCATTCACAGTTGTGTTGTCTAATCTACTGCACTTCTATTCTTCCCCTCATCTCCCCCCTTATTGTGGGTTAGCTTCCACGTATCAGAGAAGATATTCAGCCTTTTGCTTTGGGGGGCTGGCTTACTTCATTTAGCATGACAGTCTCCCAATCCATCCATTTGCTGGCAAATGTCTCAAAGTCATTCTTCTTTATGGCTGAGTAATATTCAAATGTGATATATATGTCACATTTTCTTTAGCCATTCATCTGGTGAAGGGCACTTAGGTTGGTTCCATAGCTTAGGTATTGTGAATTGAACTGCTGTAAACATTGATGTGGCTGTGTCACTGTAGCATGCTGACTTTAAATCCTTTGAGTATGTACTAAGGAGTGCTACAACTAGGTCAATTGGTGGTCCCATTCCTAGTTTTCTGAAGAATCTCTATATTACTCTTCAGAGTGGTTGCATAAATTTGCAGCCCCATCAGCAATATATGAGTGTAT